CTTTTTCCAACATCCAATGACCTTCAGATGTCCCTGCCAATTGCAGGGGCCATGGACTAGATGACCCTTAAAGGTCCCTTCCATTCCAAAGCATTCTATGATTCAAGAGTACAATTATTACAAGATATCAATCAACAAGCCTGTTAGCCCACCTGTCCTGACACTACCTCCTCTTCTTAGAAGTGGAGCTTGATACGCTCACAGAAACTTCTCAATAACATTAATTAAGGATTATGAACCACTATAAGCAAGGACATTGAGTATGCATCTCTGAAGCATCCTTACTCAACAGTTATGGTCAAAAAAGTAGTCATGTGAAAACAGCTATCAGCATCTTCAGTACTGGCCTTCCAACTGGTGCAATCAAGGAAAGTAGAGCACAAGAAAAAGCATGGTCACTGACTAAAAGTTTACAACTTCATATATTAACAGTCACAATTAGATAGCACTAAAATAGAGGGGTGGTTTTCAGTGTAATGTTATGGTAATAACTTTTACTAATACAGACAAGTATCACCATGCTTCACATGAGAAGTCAATTTTCAAGAAGTTACTGAAAAGAAACAGGTGGGTGGCTGGAGCATAGGTTTATTTAAGATGACCAAGAGCAATGGATAATGCCTAAAAACAAAAAAAAATTGGTGTGTCAATGTCCACTAGGAAAAATGAAGGGATAAAGTGCAAAGCAATAGAAAACAACACCTACATGGGAAGTGATCTGAAGTCTTTGTTTCACATGTTAGGCAGATTCCATGTGTTCTTTCATCCTTGGCCAAGAATCTGACCTTCTATTGTCATGACAAAAAATTTTATTCTCAGAAAGCTATTTTGGCAAATTTGCTAGAGCACCTTGTTCTGTCTTTGTGAGAAAATGGACAGCTACATCCTGTACAACTGAAGAAATTACCTTCTTCACACATAGTGGTTATTAAAGCAAGTGGAAAACTGAGTCATTCATGCTTTCCACATGTATTTTTTACAATATACATTTTCCCTCAGAGGTAACAAACATATCTTGAGGGCTTCATTAGCTTGGTTTCAATTTTAGTTTGCAGGATGATAGCCTGGAGGAAGCATAGAGAAGCTGAATCAAATAAATGACAAAGCAGTTGCTCCTGACATTTCTCTAGCAGATATTTCCTAAATGGACCTCCTCTTGTTACTGTTCTCCATGTCCATAAGGTAGTATCCGTGTAACAGATTCTAGGCCAAAGATAAGGTAAAAAAAACACATCAGGAAAGCAAATACCCTACCTGTGCATGAGTGTTGCATTACTCACCTGTTTCTTTTCCATTTCAGCTCTCCTGTTATTCCTCCCTTCCAAGCCTGCTGCAGCATGACTGCTAGGTAGAGTTACAACAGTTTTCGTGACGCAGAGTTTCTTAGGCACCTGATATGCCACTGGAAAAACAATTTTAATGGAAACAATACCTTTAAAAACCATACACAGGGATATTTGTCAAGTACTTTTCAGAATAGCATTGATTTCATAGTAGCAGTACTCTAAAAGCAGATCTGATACAGTAAGTGGAACAATGCAAATACCGACATTTGAACCAGTCACCCTGCTTTCCTTTTGTCAGTGAAGAGAAAGAGACAATTCTACAGCATTATTCATCTTATCCCAAAAGAGATGTCTAAAAAAGGTCAGATTGATCATTCCCTTTATAAAGTGTGCCTGTTTACTACTGCAGTTCATATCCAGCCTTAGATTTATTGACTGGTTACACAGGATCCTACCTCATAGGAAATCAATACCTGATTTCCCAGAACCATACAGGCTTTCACCACTGCTAGTAGAGACTATCATGCAGGAATTTCTGTTCTAGAAACTGAAGGAGGGAAGACTTCACCTTGTTTTAGAACCTGAGTTTCCTAGAGCTGGGCATGTATTATTGAACAGCTCTGGTATTCTGCTTAGCAGAAGATAGAATTGCACTTTCTGACCAACAGCCATGGCATTGTAGGAACATATCCTGGACACTAAACAGCATCTTTTATTTACTCTCTAAAGATTTCAATTATTAATCAAGAAATGAGCCTTGTTTAGTTCCCTAGATCTTCCAGGAAGCTCTTCTTGTACATGCAGCATGTAAACCCTTCCCCACTTTCTCCTAGCACTGCTGGAAGTAGGAGTCAGTGAGTTCAAAGGCTCATTTCACCCTTCCTCAGCTCCCTGTGCTGTTGACGGAGGGAAACAGCCTCCTCCAGAGTCAGTTCTTCTTCAGACCAAGTCAGAGCACTAACAGTTTGATCTGTGCTCTGAATGGCCCTCAGATAAGTCTCTCCCTAAGGTGAGTTGAGTGTGTGTCCCTTGGCTGCTGTCTCTTTGTCAACACCTGAAGCCTTACGCACTGGAGGAGAGACAATAACACAGGGCAAGATTCTCCTTCAATGAGCGTACACTATACCACATCCAGGCACGCACACTGGTCCAAGTTCTGCAGTTATGGCTGCGTCTGTGGTAGCTGCGTGTAAGGCAAAGCAGAAGCAGAAGAAAGGGAAGGAGAGAGGCCTACATGAATCCTCCTGCTCTCCTGTCAGTTATTGTTAACTATTCCAGATACGAAGGTGCAGCAACAAACCCTGTGCACTGTTACAGGCCAGTGCAACTTAAACCCAGTCCAATACAGCCCCCATCATAAACGAAAAAAGATTGGTCTGCAACAGGCATTGCTCTGCTGGGGATGAGACTTTCTTTTCTCCGTCTCCTTTCACCCCGCCTTGATGTCAGCTGTCTGTATAACCTGCTGTCCTAGGCTGTCAACGCACTGCTAACAGGAACCTCGGGCCCAGCTTTCCTCTCACGACAGCGTATGCCTGCTGTGCGGACGCTGGCCCTGAGCTCGCTCTGCCTGTGCAGGTCTGCACAGACTGCTGCTGCTGCCCACTGCCATACCCAGAGCCCCTGACAACTGGCGCACAGGGGAACACCAGCCCACACCTTACACTAATTCCCTGCTCCAGGTTCTTTCAGAAGTCCCTGCACGAGGCCATCCTCTGTATGGAAATGTTCCTTTGCACCCCGTCTGACCTGGAGCCTTCCCGGGCGTGCGGATGAGCTGGGCCCCCCCGGAGGCACCAAGACGGGCCACGCTGCCGGCCCTGCACGGCTCCTCTGCACCGCCGCTTGCGTGCAGCTGCTGCCATCTTGTGACAATGGGGCTGCTGGCCACCGGAGCCCTGGCTGCCAGCTTCCTCTTAATGGAGCTCTTAAACCTGGAGTACGTGGTCCTTTCCGAGTCTGGGACCTGCACAAGTGAAAGGAGTCAAAACACCGCAGTTAGTCATTACTTAATACCGTTCTGTCCCTTCACTCTGTTTCAAGATTTCCTCTGCCACGCTGCGTGGGCTCAGCCCACCTCAGAGCAGCAGGCCATGGACCTGGATGTTGGGCTGAGGACGGCTCCAGCAGTCAGTCACCTGGCGGAGAAAGGGTGAGGGGGAAAAAAACAGAAAGAAACTAATGTTTCTGGTCAGATGAGTACCCCTGAATCAACTGTCATGCTGAAAGCCCGTGGCAGAGAAGAAAACTAAATTTGTGTCATTCATGCACTAGGCTACAGCACTGGCCCTTGAAAGACCCAAGGCATCTTCAGACATTTAGCATAAGATCCTGGGTCTGGTCATCCCTCAGAGACGGGCATTTGGGCAAACCCATGTGTTGGCTGTCTGGAACCAGGCTGGTTTTCCGATCTTCACCCAAAGAAGAACTTTGTTCACTTCTGATTTCTGAATCTTCTCACCACTGTTGTGGCTTGCTCATGTTATTATTTTGTATGTTATCTTACACTTTTTAATACATTAAGGTACAGTAAATACAGAGAAAATGACAAGATTTATATTTCTTACTTTCAAATTCATTCGTAGAGCAAGTTGTGTCAGAAAAACACAAAACATAAGAATGTACCAAAATCAAACACATTCAAACTTGCTTTTAAAGTCAGCGTTAGTCACCTGTGCTTGCTTGTCTAGTACAGCTTTTTTCGTTTCAGCGCAGAAGTCTGTGCCTTTTCTGTCCCCACCACCAAAACACCACGCTCACAGGCCTCTCTGCCAGGCAGAGATCAAGCCTCACATGTCCTCAGGTCACAGGCAACACCCATACAAATACTGGAATTTCACAGTATTTCCCAAGCATCTCTCTGTTATGTAGAACTACGTGAAATTCTCTATATAGTCTTGTTAAACAAAATTAACATGGACCTTAGCTATTAGAGAGCATTACAGCAATGGTTGAACATACCACTATGATATTGTACAAATCAAGGACAGTTGAGGTGATATCGAAGTCACTGAAAAGCAAGAGACCCCTAGATTCTAGGTTTCACCTTCAGAAAGTCCTGTTCTATTTTCATCCTTTAAAATGTAGCCTCTAAGCACAGCAAAAAATCAGAGTGATAAGAAAAACAACTGAGACAGAAATCACTCTTCAATGGTGGTTTGGACTGGGTGGAAAAGAAAGTTAGCAGACTGACAAGTAGCATGGGCTGAAAATCAAGTAATAGCTTAGAAAAGCCCAAGAACAGAAATGTGAGGAGAACAAAACACAATCATGAAAGCCAAGAGGAAGAGAGGGAATAGCAAATGGACAGAAAGTAAGAGGGAAGAATTGATCAAGGGAAGACATGAAAAAAGACAGAGAAAATTTTGGTTTTTCCATGACTGAGTTGTAACCGCTACATGTTGTTGTACCTTCAGAAACCAAAAGCAACAGGCAAACATCATTAAAATATAAAACAATAAAATGAAGACAGGTAAGACGCCAGTCTTGTGTGGCACACTTTTCACTCATTTCTTTTTTTTCCCAGTCAGAGAGATTTCTGAACTTTACCCAAAAGCTCTGAAGACCAGCAGAAGCACTGTGATACGAAAACAGCCACTTCTGCAGCAGGGACAAAACGAGCAGCTTGTTCTTTCCAGCCCAAGCTGTGAGTTTCATATTTCAGCTCCTCCTTCACATTCCAGGCCTGCCCAGGCTCCTCTCCAGAGATTTCGAAAATGGAGCCTCTCACAACTACTTATCCTCTGAAATACTCAGTGCCCAAAGCCAGGGTCTTTGTAGTCTTTCTGTCGATGGTTTTGTGTACCGCCGTTCTCTGCCTGCTGCAACTCAGATTTTTTAAACCTAAAATCAAAGATTTTTATTCTTTCGAAGTCAAGGATTCACGAGGAAGGATTGTTTCCTTGGAGAAGTACAGAGGGAAAGTAAGTTACTACTTCATTATATTTTTGTCTTGAATCTTTACTAAAAAACAGGTCTCCATTTCCAGGTTAACAAAAAGTTTGTTTATGGGAATTTTCGGCAAAGATTTCTGCTAAATTCCTGTTCTTCAAACAGTAAGCTGTAGAAAAATTTATTTTATCTAGGCCTGCTCCAGGAATTAAGTATTAGATCTAATAAATCAAGAAAAATGGTTTTTCATATTCTTTATTATAAATCAATATAGCCTAATAACAATTTGTGCGTTTTAATCTTAGTTAAGAATGGCAGCATGTTGTGTTTAATTCTGGAAGTTGATCTAGTAAATACGATTTTAGTGCCTGTCCTAAATATCTGCTTTTTTACATGCTTACATTTAAACAAAGCTGTAAGTTTAAGTTTATCCATTCATTGGATTTTTAAAACAGGTTGTCTGAAAGTAAATATCTTAAGCCGCTATCATCCTTATCTGTTTAATGAAATTATGATCAGACAGATTAAATTTAGCCTTGAGGCAGGAGCGATTGTGGTAGTGGGAGATGTCATTTTAAGACTAATTGTAATGTCTATGCCATCTCTGTTTTTTCTTCTTACTACTATAACTTTATTTCTCTGAAGGCAACTCTGGTTGTAAACGTGGCCAGTTACTGCCAACACACAGACAAAAATTACATCGCACTGCAAGAACTACACAGAGAGTTTGGTCCCTCCCACTTCACTGTGCTGGCTTTTCCCTGCAACCAGTTCGGAGAATCAGAGCCTAGTTCAAGCCAGGAAATAGAATCTTTTGCCAAAGGAAACTATGGAGTAACCTTCCCTGTTTTCCACAAAATCAAGATCCTAGGATCAGAAGCAGAGCCTGCCTTTAAATTTCTAATAGGTAACTGTTTTCTTTTCTATATCAAGCTGCCTGTAACCATGGTATTCTCCCTAAATTCTGGTCTGAGTTTGTTTGTAAGGAAACATCGTAGTCTTCATAGTCTATGGAGAGAAACAGGCACTCAGCATACAATTCATCTGGTTTCAATGTGGATATCAAAAATATGGTCAGTTGTACCCTGAAAGCATCCGTTTCTTCCCACTGATTATAAAAACAGCCTACTGTGACCAGCCCAGATAGAAACATCCATTTGGTGGATGTATAAACTTGAGTGCAAAAACTCCCACCTACAAAATCCCATTTCAAATTATGTGACTTCTGTTGAAAAACAACTTTTCTCATGGACAAAAATGTAACTGGGGGGGGGGGGGGTTTTTGGGGGAAGATTTTAAAAAAAACAATGCAAGCAGGATTATATATACTGTAGCTACATATAATCACTAATTTCCATTAATTTGTCTTGTGAACTTCAGGACTCAGCCTGCAAAACCCACTCACACAAATACTCCTGTTACAGTAACCATTTACTGAGCTAGAGCCTCACACTCTCACAAGCAAAATTAAACTCTCTTCAGTTGACCAAAGAGCCCACAGACCCAAAGCCAACTTTAAAAGCCTCTCTGAATTTTCCTGAGCTTTGGCCAGGTCTTTGTCCCATACTAAACACTGATATATGAAAGAAAGGATAATTAGAACATAATCCTTCTTTATCACATATTTTAACTGGAAAATAAGGTAGGAGAAGGCCAAAACCTGTATTGCATCTCCCTGCCCCAAGATAGGATCACATTTACTGAAATCAGTACTACACGTGCTTCTCCAGACTATTGCAGTATGAGAGATTCCAAAACCTCCCAGTCTATTCCAGTTTTTCACAGCTCCTCTTGTCAGAAAGCTATTTCAACATCTAAATGAAACCTTACATGACTTAAGTCTGCTGCTTCTTCCCATATCCTCTGTGATGCCTCTTATGCACCTGAAAATTATTATCATTTAGGAGTAATTTAAGTGGTCGCCATTGTCGCTGTTCCTGTGTTTCTTCCTACCTCCCCTCAGGCATGTCACTAGAGACCTCAGGTAAAGCCTTGTTGCTCTAAGTTGCCTGATGTCCAGCGGAATTACTGAATGCACTCTGGAGGTGCCTCTCAGTGCATTATAGAGGAGGCCAGAGCACACGGGTACCAGCTGGGTGGGATGAATCCAGATTCTAACTACCAGTATAATCAGTATCAGACATTAATACCTATACAGAAACAGAACAGCCATATTCACTCAAGTCGGTTCTTATCTGACATGTTGTTCACCCACAAGAAGGAGAAAGATCCTGTGGTACTTAAATATTCTGAAATAAAGTCTTTATTTTCCTGCATTCCTCTGCTTCACATGAAATTACTGTGCATCTTCAATTAAAGAAGCACCTGTTTCTTTCTCATAGTTATCTTGCCAATCAGAAGGTTGAACATCTTCATGCTACACCCCCTTGTGACTGTGACTGCTAGCTACAATTTGTCCAGCACTGTCAGACAATCTAGTGCAAAAAGAATCCACTGGCAGCATAAACATGGTGCCAAGGCCTTTCTTAACACAACTGCCTCTTGTTGCTTTCATAGCAGTAAGCCATTTTGTTGGGCCAGTGCAAGGTTTGTGGCCACACCTTTCCTCAAATAATGTCCACCTTTCTATCTGTCTGTACTTTGTATGAGTTATTCATATGCATTAAT